ACATTATGATTATTGCACATTATGATTATTGCACATTATGATTATTGCACATTATGATTATTGCACATTATGATTATTGCACATTATTATTATCGCACATTATGATTATTGCACATTATGATTATTGCACATTATGATTATTGCACATTATGATTATTGCACATTATTATTATCGCACATTATGATTATTGCACATTATGATTATCGCACATTATGATTATTGCACATTATGATTATTGCACATTATGATTATTGCACATTATGATTATTGCACATTATGATTATTGCACATTATGATTATTGCACATTATTATTATCGCACATTATGATTATTGCACATTATGATTATTGCACATTATGATTATTGCACAGTTGAGTGAAGTGAGTTGTTTACGTCCCAAAGCTCAGCGAACATCACAGTCTGTATAGATTTGACCAAACTCCCATCATCTGTACTTCTGAGCAGGTTTTCCCGACGTTTCCTCCTCAATCCAAAGAACTTTTTCAAGAGAATGAAATCTCAGACAGCTGCTAAGAAGTACAGATGATGGAGAGAAACCTTCCTTTGCCATAATTCTTCAGGCATCACAGAGTCATAAAACCTCTGCTCAGTGAGTTTTTGTCAAGACATGGTGCATGGAGGACTACACTATTTCAATAATCTATCACTGCCCTGTGTGTGTCCTGTGTGTGTCCTGTGTGTCCTGTGTGTGTCCTGTGTGTGTCCTGTGTGTCCTGTGTGTGTCCTGTGTGTCCTGTGTGTCCTGTGTGTGTCCTGTGTGTCCTGTGTGTGTCCTGTGTGTGTCCTGTGTGTGTCCTGTGTGTCCTGTGTGTCCTGTGTGTGTCCTGTGTGTGTCCTGTGTGTCCTGTGTGTGTCCTGTGTGTGTCCTGTGTGTCCTGTGTGTCCTGTGTGTCCTGTGTGTGTCCTGTGTGTCCTGTGTGTGTCCTGTGTGTGTCCTGTGTCCTGTGTGTCCTGTGTGTGTCCTGTGTGTCCTGTGTGTGTCCTGTGTGTGTCCTGTGTGTCCTGTGTGTGTCCTGTGTGTGTCCTGTGTGTGTCCTGTGTGTGTCCTGTGTGTGTCTGTGTGTCCTGTGTGTCCTGTGTGTGTCCTGTGTGTGTCCTGTGTGTCCTGTGTGTGTCCTGTGTGTGTCCTGTGTGTGTCCTGTGTGTCCTGTGTGTGTGTGTCCTGTGTGTGTCCTGTGTGTGTCCTGTGTGTCCTGTGTCCTGTGTGTGTTCTGTGTGTGTCCTGTGTGTGTCCTGTGTGTCCTGTGTGTCCTGTGTGTGTCCTGTGTGTCCTGTGTGTCCTGTGTGTGTCCTGTGTGTCCTGTGTGTGTCCTGTGTGTGTCCTGTGTGTGTCCTGTGTGTCCTGTGTGTGTCCTGTGTGTGTCCTGTGTGTGTCCTGTGTGCATGGGCGTCGGACTGGGGGGGTAAAGGGTACCGAGTACCCAGGGCCCAAGGCGGGGAGGGGCCCTCTAAAGTGTGTCTTTATATTTATATGTATTAGGCATTGTGGTATATTCATATTATTACAATTTGAATGAAAGGGGCCCTGTATAAAAATAACCAACGTTTTAACCTCAGTTTTCCTCTAAAAACAAATGTGTATGCTATATCAGGGCCCTGCCACCCCCTTACAAAAGATCAAATGGTACGACCCACATGTGCGCTTGTTGCTGTGTTGCTGCCGCTGCAGCGAGTTGATTTGTTTGAGCAGCGGCAGAAGCGGGAAAAATAGAAATGTCTTTTCCAAAGAAAGGAAAATCAGGATTTCAGAAAAGAAAAGAAAGACAGGACAGGGAGAAAAAGTGTAATGAGGGCAAGCAATTGCTTACTCAGTTCTTCCACTCGAGAGGTGAGTATATAGAGACGTGTTAAGGCCACATCAGGAGAAAACCCAGAGACATTTGTTTCTGTATTCTAAACTCACGGAGAGCTAACAGTGTGCCGTGTACGTGGTAAAAAAAAACGTTATCCAGAGTGACACACACAGACGCGCAGCTGTAAAGGGAGCTCACACACACTGCTGTCCACTTCTCCTTCAAAGGCAGGCAGCAAAGAGTTATTTTCATGTACAACCCTGTACCCTATATTCCCACTATTGTCATAATCTGTCCGTCCGTGAGTCTTGCAGTCATAAGTCACGGGTCACTCACTGGCCTCTGCATTGGATCATCTGGTTATAACCATACAAATCACACGCCCCCGCACCGATTTGGAGTTTTCTGGTGACATCTAGTGGTCAAAATAATGTAAATAAGTCTAATGGTCTAAAGCAGTGTCTCCCAAAGTGGGGTCCGCGGCCCCCTGGTGGGCCGCGAGGGTACTGCAGGGGGGCCGCGGGAGGTCATAAAAATATAATATAATTATTTAATGTTAAATTTATAATGTTTTGTTTGTAATATTAAAATATTTGTGTTCATTATTTGACTTGAATAATCCACTGTAATAATTTTTGTATTACAATGTTTGTAGCAGAGGCTATTTCCCCAAAATAAAATAACCAGAAGAGCCTATTCTAAATGTTATCTTCTTGGTTATTATTTTGGGGGGCCACGCAGACCCGTCAGATTTTTAAGGGGGCCTCGGTGTTACTGAGTTTGGGAATGGCTGGTCTAAAGGTTTCTAGCTCTACAATTATCTTAGTGTGTAAACAAGGGTGAAATGAGACTTTCTGGTGTGTAAACTTAGGCTTTTAAGCCAGAAATGACAACTGTAAGCCCCCCTTCTTCTCCACTGGTGCCATTTTTACAGAAAAATTTCAAATGTTCATGTGGGCGGAGAAAGGCTAGGACCAGGTGTTTAGTTGAAAATGGAATAGGCTCATTTCAAAAAAGATTGCATCGATTGAATTTTGCCACAAAGTCTAAATTGGTGGATAATAATGAACCATAAAAAGTATTTTGTTGTATGTTTGTACAATAACAAATAAGTAACTTACCTACTCATGGTCCATACAAATAAGATAAGATATACAACCTATTTTATATGAATAGCCATATACACATATCACATAAAGGCATGCAGGCATATACGTAATAGCTATACACTGTAATGATGGAATATAGTATCTGTTTGCAACCCATTAAAGCTACTTTATTTCAGTTTCAGGAAGAGAAGCGTCATGGCCAGATGAAGGCACTAGTAGTGAGGGTTTGATAGTGAGGCATAATTAAATTATATATATATAAATATATATATATATATATATATATATATATATATATAAAAAGAAACGTGTAGTGGGGGCCCATTGAGACTGTTTGTACCCGGGGCCCAGAATTTGGTGCTTCCCCCCTGCCTGTGTGTGTCCTGTGTGTCCTGTGTGTGTCCTGTGTGTCCTGTGTGTGTCCTGTGTGTCCTGTGTGTGTCCTGTGTGTGTCCTGTGTGTGTCCTGTGTGTCCTGTGTGTGTCCTGTGTGTGTCCTGTGTTTGTCCTGTGTGTGTCCCTGTGTGTCCTGTGTGTGTCCTGTGTGTCTTGTGTGTCCTGTGTGTGTCCTGTGTGTGTCCTGTGCAGTGATGGGAATAACGGCGTTACTAGTAACGGCGTTACTAACGCCGTTACTTTTTTCAGTAACGAGTAATCTAACTAATTACTTTGACAGTAACTATAAGGCCGTTATCATTTCCGACATCCCGTTACTGCGCGTTACTCAAGACGCACAATGAACGTGTTGTCATGAGAGAAGGGAGGATGAGAAAACCTCTCAGCAATTATTGGCTGATTTAAATCATATTTCCTTTACAATCTACATGTCTACAGTTGAGAGGATGGTCATAAATTGTGTTTTTGAAACAAATATGGGTCTTAATCGCGCTCAACCACGGCTTGTATCACCGTGAGCGCGTGTGAGCGCAGAAGGCTGCATACAATTCCATCGATAAGCTCCTTGCTCTTCCTGGTTTATCTGCTAAGGACAGCAACAGGTTTGGCTAACATACATATAACACATTTTTACATAATCTAAAATGCACATAGGGTAATTTTTCAATGACTATAGGAATGATAAGAAAGAGAGGTGAAGTGTAAGACGGTTGATTTTAGAAATTGGATGCACTCGGCTGCCGCTCGCAAAACACAGGAGTTTATGGAGGACACACGCGTTTTGTTTTACTTTTTAAAACTCATTGGACTCATTTCCAAATGGAGGATTACATATCTACGCTCAAACCATTAACTGGATTTAAACAAGGAACTGGTCTGAACCGAAGTGGACTGTGCAGGTCATTTATAAGGTATAGCTTTAAGGTAAGACCCATAACTCATAGTTTTGCGTTTTGTATGAACAAACAATGCAGGCATAAAACATATTTTGCTGTAGCCAAACAAATTGTCCACTTGATTTATATGATATATATGTTCATCTGATTGGACTGAAGTCAGTGCTTCACCAGCCTCACCGCTCGTCACCGGTGTTTCCACATTCACAGTGGCGGGTGTTGGTGTTTAGTGCTTACAGCACAGAGAGAGATGAAGAGTGAACAGGACTTCAGCAGCAAAACAGACTTTTCTAGATGGAAATATTGGCACTGTTAAAGGTAAAAGTGCGCACGTCGGGTGCACATTATGTTCCAGAACAAAACGAAAAAGTAACGCAATAGTTACTTTTACTGGTAACTAGTTACTTTTATAGTGGAGTAACTCCGTTAGTAACTCAGTTACTTTTTGGGAGAAGTAACTAGTAACTATAACTAATTACTTTTTCAAAGTAACGTGCCCAACACTGGTCTTGTGTGTCCTGTGTCTCCTGTGTGTCCGGTGTTGTCCTGTGTGTGTCCTGTGTGTCCTGTGTGTGTCCTGTGTGTGTCCTGTGTCCTCTGTGTCCTCTGTGTCCTCTGTGTCCTGTGTGTCCTGTGTGTGTCCTGTGTGTCCTCTGTGTCCTGTGTGTCCTGTGTGTGTCCTGTGTGTGTCCTGTGTGTCCTGTGTGTGTCCTGTGTGTGTCCTGTGTGTGTCCTGTGTGTGTCCTGTGTGTCCTGTGTGTGTCCTGTGTGTTCTGTGCACTCACCACATTTGGGGTAGGCCACCAGCATGACGTCCTGGGCCCGGGCCTGGATGCTGCCCAGGGCCTGCAGGTTCTCCTCGGGGCACATGAGGCAGGGGTAGAGCACGCCCTTGTAGCGGTGCAGCTTCTCCTCCTCCCTCATGTCCTTGGCCCTCTCCAGCCGAGACTGCATGTTCCTCACAGACTCTGCTCTCTCGTTCCTCACAGACTCTGCTCTCTCGTTCCTCACAGACTCTGCTCTCTCGTTCCTCACAGACTCTGCTCTCTCGTTCCTCACAGACTCTGCTCTCTCGTTCCTCACAGACTCTGCTCTCTTGTTCCTCACAGACTCTGCTCTCTCTCTCTCGCTCTGCTCCCTCCCGCCTTTTAAACACCACGGCTTTATACCTGCCCCAGGGGTGTGTCCTGCAGCCTCTGAGCGGGATGTGGTGCAAGACGTCTGTGGGACAGTCCCATTTGAGAGGGGAGAGAGAGAGGGGAGAGAGAGGAGAGAGAGAAGAGAGGGGAGAGGGATAGGGGGGAAAGAGAAGAGAGAGAGAGGGGAGAGACAGGAGAGAGAGGATAGAGGAGAGAGAGAGAGGGGTGAGGAGGAGTAGCTATGTGGGGGAGGAGTAGTGCTGCCTTTTCACACACTTTTCAACACAGAGCACCAGGAACCAGAGCAACGTTACTTTTTGTAATGAAGAGATTGAATTAACCCTACCCTACTCTACCCTACCCTACTCTACCCTACTCTACTCTACCCTACCCTACGCTACCCTACCCTACTCTACTCTACCCTACTCTAACCTACTCTACCCTACCCTACTCTACTCTACCCTACCCTACCCTACCCTACTCTACTCTACTGAGTAGAGTAGAGTCTACTCTACTCTACTCTACCCTACCCTACTCTACTCTACCTACTCTACCCTACTCTACCCTACTCTACCCTACTCTACCCTACCCTACCCTACTCTACCCTACTCTACCCTACCCTACTCTACTCTACCCTACTCTACTCTACCCTACTCTACCCTACCCTACTCTACTCTACCCTACCCTACTCTACTCTACCCTACTCTACTCAACCCTACTCTACCCTACTCTACTCTACCCTACTCTACTCTACCCTACTCTACCCTACCCTACTCTACCCTACCCTACTCTACCCTACCCTACTCTACCCTACCCTACTCTACCCTGCTCTACCCTACTCTACCCTACCCTACCCTACCCTACTCTACGCTACTCTACCCTACTCTACCCTACCCTACCCTACTCTACTCTACTCTACCCTACCCTACTCTACCCTACCCTACCCTACTCTACTCTACTCTACTCTGCTCTACTCTGCCCTACCCTACCCTACTCTACCCTACTCTACCCTACCCTACCCTACTCTACTCTACTCTACTCTACTCTACTCTATTCTATTTGGGCATCACGGTGGTTGAGTGGTTGGCACTCTCGCCTCTCAGCAAGAAGGTTCTGGGTTCGAATCCTAGTTGGAACAGGGCCCTTACTGAGTGGAGTTTACATGTTCTCCCCGTGTCAGGGTACTCAAGTTCCCCCTACCACTAAAAACATGTGCAATTGTTCAGGGTGAATGAGTGTGAGTTTGTGAGCGCGAATGTGGGACAATCCAGAGTGATGTGTTCGTGAACATGTGCTGTCACAACCAAATAAACAATAAATAAATAAAACACTCTACTCCTAACCCTAACAACAAACCATAAAAAGCCCTCTGGTCGTTCCATGCCTGTTAGAACACTTTATTACCAGGATAGAACCAGGACCAAGAGGGACTAAAGAAAGACCTGGTACTGGTTGAACAGGGTCGGTGGAAATGCTCTTCAGGGGAGAGTAGAGTAGAGTAGGGCTGAGTAAAACTTACTTCTGATTTTTATTTTGAGAATATTCTATACTGTTTCTTATTCAAACTGTTTACTGAGCCATTTCTCTGCTGATAGTTCACAAACAACGGCAAATGTCAAAGAGACTTAAGCAGTTTTGAATAATCTTTACTCATCGGTTTTCATTCTTGGTAATCTTTTATTTATATACCGCCTTTTCACTGCAGATCTGAGTCTCAAAGCGGTTTACAATTGTTAATTTTGGGCATTTGTCTCTCGCTCCACACAGAGATGGGAGCGGGGCCAGTACAGGAGGCGCATGCCAGAACTATTGGACATATTTTTAGTGGTAGGGGAAACTGGAGTACCCGGAGGAAACCTACGCAGACACGGGGAGAACATGCAAACTCCACTCAGAAAGGCCCTGGTCCGACCGGGATTCGAACCCAGGACCTTCTTGCTGAGAAGCGAGAGTGCTATCCACTCAGCCACCGTGCCGCCCGTCTTGGACACACAAAGACTCTGTAATTCAGAGTCTGAAACTGAGCGATACATGTTCTCCTCCCACTGCACCTCCTCCCACTGCACCTCCTCCCACTGCTATGTTCTGGTGTCTCCTACAGGAGGAGGTGGAGCGGCTGTGTCCTGGTGTCTCCTACAGGAGGAGGTGGAGCGGCTGTGTCCTGGTGTCTCCTACAGGAGGAGGTGGAGCAGCTATGTTCTGGTGTCTCCTACAGGAGGAGGTGGAGCAGCTATGTTCTGGTGTCTCCTACAGGAGGAGGTGGAGCGGCTGTGTCCTGGTGTCTCCTACAGGAGGAGGTGGAGCAGCTATGTTCTGGTGTCTCCTACAGGAGGAGGTGGAGCAGCTATGTTCTGGTGTCTCCTACAGGAGGAGGTGGAGCAGCTATGTTCTGGTGTCTCCTACAGGAGGAGGTGGAGCAGCTATGTTCTGGTGTCTCCTACAGGAGGAGGTGGAGCAGCTATGTTCTGGTGTCTCCTACAGGAGGAGGTGGAGCGGCTGTGTCCTGGTGTCTCCTACAGGAGGAGGTGGAGCAGCTATGTTCTGGTGTCTCCTACAGGAGGAGGTGGAGCAGCTATGTTCTGGTGTCTCCTACAGGAGGGAGGTGGAGCGGCTGTGTCCTGGTGTCTCCTACAGGAGGAGGTGGAGCGGCTGTGTCCTGGTGTCTCCTACAGGAGGAGAGGAGGCCTCGGTGAGGTCCTGCAGACTGAGGGTGGTCCACATCCCTAGAAACATCTGTGTCACCCCCCCCCCCCCCCCCCCTCCCCGGGGGTGCAGTTTTAGACCTTAATACGAGGATTTGGACTTTAAAGTGTGTCGTGTTCGTCTTTATATCAGCTTTATATCATGTTACAGCAGAGTTCTCACATCGACGCAGACGGACAAGGCCAACCCACACGCTCAATATATACGGAAGTGCTCATGGACAAAGTTTGCTCCAACTCACTCTGGCTCCCATTGAAGTAAACTCCTCACCCTTTTGGGCTTAAAATATCTGTGGTTACTACTTTTTATGTTGACATTGCCTTTGACCAATCAGACGCCTGCCTTAGCACACATCTTAGCAACACTATAGTTTGCATCTTCTCCTGTTGCCGTCTGGTTTTGATGAGCTCCATCCTGGAATCCAAATCCAAACCTATTGTTCACATAATTTGTTTAGTGAATGAAAGATGTTAACAAAATAAACTTGAGAAAAAACACAAGATACCGTTTCTAAAAGATGCAGCCTTGAGCCCCATTTCCACCAACCCGACTTAGCCCTACTCTACCCTGGTCCGGTCCGGTCGGGTCTGGTCTGGTCTGGTCTGATCTACTCTACTGCTCTCAATTTGGGAGCTTTGACTGGAACCAGGTCCTTCTTTAGTTCTATCTGACAGTGATTGGTCAGAGTGCTGCTGGAAGCCATGGTTACCAAGGAATTTACCCCGATACTGTTTTGTTGTAGGTAGGTTGCTAGGATACGACACTAGATACAAAAGGGTAATGGAAACACAAGGTAGAGTGGAGAAGGTTCAACAGGGCTTTAGAGAAGGCAAGGCAAGTTTATTTGTATAAAACAGTTTATACTTCCATAAAACATAATCAAAGTACATTAAAAAGAGTTGAGATAATGTTATGTACCCATGTTTAGTTCAGGAGGCCAGTCCCTGTGCTCTTCAGAGTCCCAGCAGGAGGCCAGTCCCTGTGCTCCTCAGAGTCCCAGCAGGAGGCCAGTCCCTGTGCTCCTCAGAGTCCCAGCAGGAGGCCAGTCCCTGTGCTCCTCAGAGTCCCAGCAGGAGGCCAGTCCCTGTGCTCCTCAGAGTCCCAGCAGGAGGCCAGTCCCTGTGCTCTTCAGAGTCCCAGCAGGAGGCCAGTCCCTGTGCTCCTCAGAGCCTTTAATTACTGCAGCCTCTCCCACTCTCCCTGACTCAGGTTGCCAGATATGCAGACGAATCCAGCTGGGACCATAACAGCTGAATAGACAAGAGTTTTGTCAACAACAAATCTATAACCAACACCTTTTTCACAGAGATAGAAATCCTGCTTTTTTTCCTTGTTTTGTCGTTAATGATTTGAGAATCTTAACGAGACCTTATTTAGTTCTGCGCCACATGGTACTTTACCAGTGAGATTAGCTCCACGCGGTGAGTTCTGGCGCCCGGATCACAGACTTTCTGATTGGTGAAACGGTGGAGGGCGGGAAAACGAAATGAAAACAATAACAAGATTTAGAGGCTGGAAAAGTAATTTAGAAATTGAAATATCTCTGAACGACTGTTATCATTTAAAGAAGGATTTGAAAAAAACAGTTTATTATTATGACCTTTTAAAGATGACTTCACATGAAAATATTACAAATTGCTATTTTAACTTGTGAGGGCTAATCTCAAGTCTTTTAAAAAATAACACATTATGAAAGAATCAGTCCACAACCCGCTGTCTTGATCTTTGTAGAACACAGAACTACTTTGGGAGATGGAAGGCAGGCGTCCCCAGGCCCCGGGGGTGCGGCTGAAATACACTGTGTTTTGTGTGTGTTTGCGGGGCCCATCTGGTGCACAGCTTCTGAGGGCCACATGGAGGGGCCTCTAATGCTCCTGTGCTGCAGCCATGAGAAGGTGATAACACGGAGCACATGCGGGACTGAGATGAAGTCATGGACAGTGTTTCAAGTACGCTTCAGGATTTACTTTAGAGCTGGGGGTAGCTTTAACTTTAACAACATTTAACTACAGTCCCTGGCTCTACAACAGTTGGTTCTTCTTTGTGTTGCCTGGATCACTTTCAGACACAGTAAAAGAGGTTTATTCTTTGTTACTATGGTATGAACAGGACCAAGGCAAGGTCAGTTCATACTAGCCTGGTCTTACCTCACCATGGTACTCATTTCATTTCATACTAAGGTCTGCATTTGCTCCATTGGCTCCGTTAACAGGTGGGAGGGGTTAACTCCTTTGGCAGATTGAAACCATTGGATCTGAGTGACGTATGTAATGAGCCCGAGTGAGTGAGGCATTTAGCATTTAGCCTAGCTTTAGCATGTAGCCTAGCTTTAGCCATCTTCTTTGCCACTAACAGAACCGTGGGGAGTAACGCCACAACATATTTGCTTCAATGACATTTACTAAACATTCCTTTTGCTCCGGCTTCAGTTTCTTGATATTTGGATTGAACCAGAACAGATTATTTTACTATCGCATTCTCCGACAAACTACAACCAGTAAATTCAGCACAAACTCTTGACGTCACCGACACCGACCTACCCCACCCGCCTCCCCCGCTCTCTGATTGGTCGGAGGAGATTCAACCGAGGAAACTGTGATGATGGAATGATGGAGTCTGTCCATCTGTAAAATGTACTATAGTCTCTTCTTCTACTATTGTCATCTTCTACCAGAAAAGAAATACTCTTCTGGGAAAATACTATTTATGCAGATTTTTAACTGACCGGTACTGACCTTTGTACCAAAAACATAATCACCCTGTCTTTTATTAGAATGCCTTACATTACAGCGTTACAGCAGTGTCCTTGATCCTCGAGCAGCCGCTGAGTAAGGTAAGAGGTAAAACAAATATCGGCTTTTGTTCCACATAAGAAGTTGCATAACGTCCACTCAGGAGGAGTAGACTCTTGATGAATGAGTCCAAACCAGAACAGACTCAGGCCATCCGTCATCTCACCACTCTGTCCTCTGCAGGTATGTCACCTCCACATTTAGTTTCTTTATGGAATGCTGTGAGCAAATATGCGTCTGCTGTCGTCTGCTGCGATCAGGATCAGTGAGACACTATGAAGGAGACAGTTTTATGGTATTTACTTTTAACCGTGAGATAAAGAGACATGGGTTTCTTTCATGTTCTATGGAAGGTATTTCAATATTCCATTTATCATGCTGCTAACATGTACAGCTACATGTTAGACCAGAGCAGAGAGGATTCATGGTTTTACACTGGTCCAAACCAGAGCAGAGAGGCTTCATGGTTTTACACTGGTCCAGACCAGAGCAGAGAGGCTTCATGGTTTTACACTGGTCCAGACCAGAGCAGAGAGGATTCATGGTTTTACACTGGTCCAGACCAGAGCAGAGAGGATTCATGGTTTTACACTGGTCCAGACCAGAGCAGAGAGGATTCATGGTTTTACACTGGTCCAGACCAGAGCAGAGAGGATTCATGGTTTTACACTGGTCCAGACCAGAGCAGAGAGGATTCATGGTTTTACACTGGTCCAGACCAGAGCAGAGAGGATTCATGGTTTTACACTGGTCCAGACCAGAGCAGAGAGGATTCATGGTCCAAACCAAGTGGATCAGGAGAAAATCCACAGGAGGAATGCTAACTTTATAAAAAATGCTAATGAAGCATTTAGCATTTTACTTTGAACCAGAGCAGAGACAATGGTCTGAACCATGTGGCTCCACCTCTGCTGCTGTGACCTGAAGGACTGATGTTATTATTACTATAGTTAGATACTTTTAGAATGATCTATTTTATGTGTTTTGTTTGTTCGGATGGATGTGTTTTTGCTGCTAGTGCACACCTGCATTTCTCCTGCAGAATCTAAATCAATAAAGTATCCATCTATCTATCTTACTATCTATCTATTTATCGATCTATATATATATGATGCTAAAGTTAGAGATTGTATATTGCTTTTATTGTTCATTTATTTGGTGCTTGTGCTCCTCACTGTTTTATAATGTTTTTTGATGCAACACTGACATTTCCCCGAAGTGGGACGAGTAAAGGACCTCTTAATCTTAATCTCTACAGGAGAGATGCTTTGTTCAGGAGACATGAACGGGAAAATATTGCCAATATTTCTTTTCTTGATTTGTTCAGCACTTTGGGTTGCCTTGTGTATGAACTGTGCTCTACAAATAAACTGGCCTTTCCTATTGTCCACAGCAGGGAGGGGCACATGACCGACCGAACAGGAAGTACAACTCCAAAGAAAAAAACACATCAGAATATTGCCTTTAACACACAGTGGAACGACAGGAACTCAAGAAAGACCTGGTACTGGTCACACAGGACCAGAGGAGACACTCCCAATCAGGGGAGAGAAGAGTAGAGTAGGGTAGAGTAGAGTAGAGTAGAGTAGAGAAGAGTAGGGTAGAGTAGAGTAGAGTAGAGTAGAGTAGAGTGGAGTAGAGTAGATTAGAGTAGGGTAGAATAGAGTAGAGTAGAGCAGAGTAGAGTAGAGTAGAGTAGAGTAGAGTAGAGTAGGGTAGACTAGACTAGAGTAGAGTAGAGTAGAGTAGAGTAGGGTATAGGGTAGAGTAGAGTAGACTAGAGTAGAGTAGAGTAGAGTAGAGTAGAGCAGAGTAGAGTAGAGTAGGGTAGAGTAGAGTAGGGTAGAGTAGAGTAGAGTAGAGTAGACTAGAGTAGAGTAGAGTAGGGTAGACTAGACTAGAGTAGAGTAGAGTAGAGTAGGGTAGAGTAGAGTAGGGTAGAGTAGAGTAGAGTAGAGTAGACTAGAGTAGAGTAGAGTAGGGTAGACTAGACTAGAGTAGAGTAGAGTAGAGTAGGGTAGAGTAGAGTAGGGTAGAGTAGAGTAGAGTAGAGTAGAGTAGACTAGAGTAGAGTAGAGCAGAGCAGAGCAGAGTAGAGTAGAGTAGAGTAGAGTAGGGTAGACTAGAGTAGAGTAGAGTAGAGTAGGGTAGAGTAGTGTAGAGTAGAGTAGAGTAGAGTAGAGTAGAGTAGAGTAGAGTAGAGTAGACTAGAGTAGAGTAGAGTAGAGTAGAGTAGAGTAGAGTAGGGTAGACTAGACTAGACTAGACTAGACTAGAGTAGAGTAGAGTAGAGTAGAGTAGAGTAGAGTAGAGTAGAGTAGAGTAGAGTAGAGTAGAGTAGAGTAGAGTAGAGTAGTAGAGTAGGGTAGGGTAGGGTAGGTAGAGTAGAGTAGAGTAGAGTAGAGTAGAGTAGAGTAGGTAGGGTAGGGTAGAGTAGAGTAGAGTAGAGTAGAGTAGAGTAGAGTAAGTAGAGAGCAGAGCAGAGCAGAGTAGAGTAGAGTAGAGTAGAGTAGAGTAGAGTAGAGTAGAGTAGAGTAGAGTAGAGTAGAGCAGAGCAGAGCAGAGCAGAGCAGAGCAGAGCAGAGCAGAGTAGAGTAGAGTAGAGTAGAGTAGAGTAGAGTAGGGTAGAATAGAGTAGAGTAGAGTAGAGTAGGGTAGAGTAGGGTAGAGTAGAGTAGAGTAGAGTAGAGTAGGGTAGACTAGAGTAGAGTAGTAGAGTAGAGTAGAGTAGAGTAGAGTAGAGTAGGGTAGAATAGAGTAGAGTAGGGTAGAGTAGAGTAGAGTAGAGTAGAGTAGAGTAGAGTAGAGTAGGGTAGAATAGAGTAGAGTAGAGTAGAGTAGAGTAGGGTAGACTAGAGTAGAGTAGAGTAGAGTAGGGTAGAGTAGAGTAGAGTAGAGTAGGGTAGAGTAGAGTAGAGTAGAGTAGGGTAGAGTAGAGCAGAGTAGAGTAGAGTAGAGTAGGGTAGACTAGAGTAGAGTAGAGTAGAGTAGAGTAGAGTAGACTAGACTAGACTAGAGTAGAGTAGAGTAGAGTAGAGTAGAGCAGAGTAGAGTAGAGTAGAGTAGAGTAGAGTAGAGTAGAGTAGAGTAGAGTAGAGTAGAGTAGAGTAGAGTAGAGTAGAGTAGAGTAGAGTAGAGTAGGGTAGAGTAGAGTAGGGTAGAGTAGAGTAGAGTACACTAGAGCAGAGTAGAGTAGAGTAGATTAGAGTAGAGTAGAGTCGAGTCGAGCAGTGTAGGTAGAGTAGAGTAGAGTAGAGTAGGGTAGACTAGAGTAGAGTAGAGTAGAGTAGAGTAGGGTAGAGTAGAGTAGGGTAGGGTAGAGTAGAGTAGAGTAGAGTAGAGTAGAGTCGAGTAGGGTAGACTAGAGTAGAGTAGAGTAGAGTAGAGTAGAGTAGCGTAGAGTAGAGTAGAGTAGAGTAGAGTAGAGTAGGGTAGGGTAGGGTAGAGTAGAGTAGGGTAGGGTAGAGTAGAGTAGAGTAGAGTAGGGTAGGGTAGGGTAGGGTAGAGTAGAGTAGAGTAGAGTAGGGTAGAGTAGGGTAGGGTAGAGTAGAGTAGGGTAGGGTAGAGTAGAGTAGAGTAGAGTAGGGTAGGGTAGGGTAGGGTAGAGTAGAGTAGAGTAGGGTAGAGTAGGGTAGGGTAGAGTAGGGGAGAGTAGAGTAGGGTAGAGTAGGGTAGGGTAGAGTAGAGTAGAGTAGGGTAGGGTAGAGTAGAGTAGAGTAGGGTAGGGTAGGGTAGAGTAGAGTAGAGTAGGGTAGGGTAGGGTAGAGTAGAGTAGGGTAGGGTAGGGTAGGGTAGAGTAGAGTAGGGTAGAGTAGGGTAGGGTAGAGTAGGGGAGAGTAGAGTAGGGTAGAGTAGGGTAGGGTAGAGTAGGGGAGAGTAGGGTAGGGTAGAGTAGAGTAGGGTAGGGTAGGGTAGAGTAGAGTAGGGTAGGGTAGGGTAGAGTAGATTAGGGTAGGGTAGGGTGGGGTAGAGTAGAGTAGGGTAGAGTAGAGTAGGGTAGAGTAGGGGAGAGTAGGGTAGGGTAGAGTAGGGTAGAGTAGGTCAAAGAATGGCTGGTGGAGTTCTTCACAGAGTTTGGTGACTTTTAAACCAAACTAAAGCAGATGGTTTTTCATGTTCTCCTCGTCCTCCAGAAATCACTTCATCCATGAACTTTATCCATGAACTTTATCCATGAACTTTATCCATGAACTTTATCCATGAACTTTATCCATGAACTTTATCCATGAACTTTATCCATGAACTTTATCCATGAACTTTATCCATGAACTTTATCCATGAACTTTATCCATGAACTTTATCCATGAACTTTATCCATGAACTTTATCCATGAACTTTATCCATGAACTTTATCCATGAACTTTATCCATGAACCGGGACAGCAGCACTATAACCATTATTCAAACTGACACAGCATCTGCTCATGGACTGCACCATCAATCACTGAAACCAACAGACTTGGTCCTCAGGGTTCAGACTTGGTCCTCAGGGTTCAGACTTGGTCCTCAGGGTTCAGACTTGGTCCTCAGGGTTCAGACTTGGTCCTCAGGGTTCAGACTCGGTCCTCAGGGTTCAGACTCGGTCTTCAGGGTTCAGATGGAGGGGCAGAGACAGACAATGTTCTGGTGATGTGGTAGATTGTTGAATGCCAAAACATTTAAAACATTTTGAACAAATATAAAAAGTGTGTATTTGTATAAACAGAGAAACGGTCCGTGTCTAAGACGTAGCAGAGCAAACACAACTAAATCTTTTCAATCCACAATTCATGAGTCCCTTTCCACTACTTTTGCTGATCTGAACCAAAGAGTGTCTCATTAGTTTGGTAGCTCATGGGCATTAGATAAAGGTAAATGTATTTAAGTCTAATTATCCCAGCCTCTGACTTCCTCAGTATAATTACACTGCTGTTTTTGTGGGCGATGCGCAAACTACACCTCTCCCCCTCTCACTGTATGCATTTCAGACTTAGGGCCCCTTGGGGAGCAGCGCGAGGGGCCCCTCCATGTCACTTGATAAATTACTGTGAACAAAAATGGCCATTCAGAGCCGTGCACATGAGCGGCTGAGTGTGGGCCCCTCTGCAGACCCCAGTTTTACCCTGAGGCCAGCACTAACCAAAGTAACAGCAAGTTTTTAATCTCAAAACCTCATATGGTTTTTGGTCGGAGGAGGGGCATCATGCTGGTTGTCTTGCTTCAGTCAATGTGCCCCAGGGCAGCTGTGGCTACGGTAAAGGTCTATGTCTGTAGGTGTTGTTCTCACACTACAAATATGTTTCCAGTTTATAATTCCATGTAGATATCACACGATGGCATTCTCCTAACCACTTCTGGATAAACTGGTCTTTTAGCCTTTGCTCCACAGAGAGTTTGCACCACTCCCCACCGGTGATTTCCGGTCCTGTCCAGATGTAAGACAGACCACAGCTGTCCAGTTTCACCTGCAGTAACCATGGAGACACATGTTTCCCTTTGTTAAAGAAATCAAATAGCCTATTGTACATTATTTTACGAAGTTCGGTTTCCTTGTAATTGCAGGATCCTCCCCCAGAATCCGATTAGGGTGGGTCATAATCATGGGCTTTTGAGCAAATAATAACTTGTAATTTAATACGTTTCTATGAACGAAAATAGCCCTGCTGCGCTGATTGAAACAGAACTGGACAAAAAGCAATGAGCAATTAACTTATTTTTTTTAAAATTGAATTCAGGGTTCAATGTTTATGGTCAATATATGGTGTGGTTGTTTCCTTGACAAAAGAGAATGATCTGATATCACTGACATTATTTTACTATGCCTTACTCTATTCTCTACCTCTCTTCTTTGACTGTTGCACCGAGAGCCAAAGCAGTGACTTCCTGTTACTTACATGGCAATAAACAATAATTTGCCTTCTTATTAAAATGTTATGTCCACTAGGAGGCGACAGAGACCACGGGATTTGAAAGAGGACTCCCTACGCTGCTGTAAAATAGAACTAAGCAGATAGACTAATAATTATAATTGAAATAACGTTAATAAATTATAATAATAATGATTTATATATTTTCATTCGTGTTTTAATTCTATCCTCTAAACGCTGATGTGGAAATAGAGCCCCGCGCATGCGCACTGCCGTGTTCCTGAAAAAATGGCGATGGACGCGGCTGGTATGATGTCCACGTCTTACCATCACCACCACCACCAGCACCAGCACCAGCACCAGCACAATGACGGGGACTACTACCCGCGCAAGTTTGGCCCCAAGCCCGACGTGGTGCCTTCGGGGGTCACGGAGAGGAAGGTGGGGCCCCTGGACAAGCCTGACATGGTCTCTGTGGACGTGCTGAACCTCCGGGAGCCAGGTTTGTTATGCTAACGATGCTAACGATGCTAACACCCGGTTAATAGCAAAAAGCAAGGCAAGTTTATTTATATAGCACAATTCATACACAAGGCAACTCAAAGTGCTGAACAAAATAGCATCATAAATAATCACAGAACATCAAAAAGAAAGATAAAAATATAAAATCCCTCAGTTGTAGCACAGCTAAACAGAACTGTCTTTAACCTGGTTTTAAACATTGTCACATCTTCAGGAAGACTGTTCCAGATTTTAGCAGCATGAATCTGAAAAGCAGCCTTCCCATGTTTAGTTCTGACTCTGGGCACTAACAGGAGTCCAGTCCCTGTGCTCCTCAGAGTCCCAGCAGGAGGCCAGTCCCTGTGCTCCTCAGAGTCCCAGCAGGAGTCCAGTCCCTGTGCTCCTCAGAGTCCCAGCAGGAGGCCAGTCCCTGTGCTCCTCAGAGTCCCAGCAGGAGGCCAGTCCCTGTGCTCCTCAGAGTCCCAGCAGGAGGCCAGTCCCTGTGCTCCTCAGAGTCCCAGCAGGAGTCCAGTCCCTGTGCTCCTCAGAGTCCCAGCAGGAGGCCAGTCCCTGTGCTCCTCAGAGTCCAGTCCCTGTGCTCCCTGGGCTATACAAGTCCCTGGGCTATACAAGAATACATTGTATTGTAATTGTATTGTACCTAATATCAGGCTTGTTCAGCTAATATCACCACATTTTTCTCAGGGCAGAGTAGCTCTCTGTTTTTATCGTCACGGGAAAGTAGCTCTCTGGGTGAAAAGGGTTGGAGACACCTGCTCTAGTGTGAGCGAGCTGCGTGACACCTGTTTACCATGCAATAATTAAACCTCTGGTCATGAGCTTTGGATAATGACCGAAAGAACGAGATCTAGGAAGTACGACCACATTAGTCCTGACTAGAACCAGGAAGTACGACCACATTAGTCCTGACTAGAACCAGGAAGTACGACCACATTAGTCCAGTCCTCAGGTCTCTGCACTGGCTTCCTGTGGCTCAGAGAATAGACTTTAAAACAGCTCTGCTTGTTACAAGTCTCTCCGTGGCCTCGCACCAAAATATATTAGTGACATGTTAGTCCCATATGAACCAGCCCGGACTCTGAGGAGCGCAGGGACGGGACTCCTGTTAGTGCCCAGAGTCAGGACTAGACAGGGGGAGGCTGCTTTTCAGATTTATGCAGCTAAGGTCTGGAACAGTCTTCCTGAGGATGTGAGACTGGCTGCCTCTCTGTCAATGTTCAAATCCATGTTAAAGACTTTTCTTTTTTCCTGTGCATACAACTAGAGAATTTTATCTTTTTAACACACCTTGTTATTTATTGTTGTAACTTTTTGTGTTTTAGAGTTATTCAATATACTGTGATTATTTATGATTTTAATGCTTTCTTGTTCAGCACTTTGAGTTGCCTTGTGTATGAATTGTGCTATACAAATAAACTTGCCTTGCCATCGCGGATACAAGCGGTCAAAATGAGCTTCTTCCGCAGAGTGACTGCTCCCTTAGAAATAAGGTGAGGAGCTCAGTCACATGGGAGGAGCTCGGAGTAGAGCCGCTGCTTCACCAGCTGAGGTGGCTCCGGCATCTGCCCCTGCGACAAAGAAGATGTGGAACTTTGTGACAGTAAACCCCATCCCTCTCATGTAGGCTGTTCCAGGACCTACAGAGAATTTAGCTTTAAACTTTCTCTAGAATCTGACTATTGCAGATGTAGTTCCAATGTATTTTTGTTTTTACTTTTGTTCCACCGACAGCTCGATACCACTCATTAGTCACACTCAAAACACATACATGAATGATAATGATTTATGCAGCGCTTTTCTGGACACTCAGAGCCGCTTCCATTCTGTAAACAATAAACTAGTACTGTAGCCGCAGCTGCCCTGGGGCACACTGACAGAAGCGAGGCAACCAGTCTGTGCCATCAGCCCCTCCCACCACCAGCAGCCTCACTCACCCACTCACACTCACTCTCTAATTCACCCACTCACACTCACTCTCTCACTCACCCACTCACTCTCACACTCACCCACTCACACTCACTCTCACACTCACCCACTCACACTCACTCTCTCATTCACCCACTCACACTCACTCTCTCATTCACCCACTCACACTCACTCTCTTTCACACACTCACACTCACTCTCTCACCCACTCACACTCACTCTCTCACTCATCCACTCACACTCACTCTCTCATTCACCCACTCACTCACTCACCCACTCACATTCACTCTCTCACTCACCCACTCACACTCACTCTCTCACTCACCCACTCACACTCACTCTCTCACTCACCCACTCACACTCACTCTCTAATTCACCCACTCACACTCACTCTCTCACTCACCCACTCACACTCACTCTCTCACTCACCCACTCACACTCACTCTCTTTCACCCACTCACTCTCTCATTCACCCACTCACACTCACTCTCTCATTCACCCACTCACACTCACTCTCTCACTCACCCACTCACACTCACCCACTCACACTCACTCTCACCCACTCACACTCACTCACTCTCTCACTCACCCACTCACACTCACTCTCTCACTCACCCACTCACACTCACTCTCTCATTCACCCACTCACACTCACTCTCTCATTCACCCACTCACACTCACTCTCTCACTCACCCACTCACACTCACTCTCTAATTCACCCACTCACACTCACTCTCTCATTCACCCACTCACACTCACTCTCTCATTCACCCACTCACACTCACTCTCTCATTCACCCACTCACTCTCACTCTCTCATTCACCCACTCACACTCACTCTCTTTCACACACTCACTCTCTCACCCACTCACACTCACTCTCTCACTCATCCACTCACACTCACTCTCTCATTCACCCACTCACACTCACTCTCTCATTCACCCACTCTCTCACTCACCCACTCACACTCACTCTCTCACTCACCCACTCACACTCACTCTCTCACTCACCCACTCACACTCACTCTCTCACTCACCCACTCACACTCACTCTCACTCACCCACTCACACTCACTCTCTCACTCACCCACTCACACTCACTCTCTCACTCACCCACTCACACTCACCCACTCTCACACTCACCCACTCTCACACTCACCCACTCACACTCACACTCACCCACTCACTCTCACACTCACCCACTCACACTCACTCTCACACTCACCCACTCACACTCACTCTCTCACTCACCCACTCACACTCACTCTAATTCACCCACTCACACTCACTCTAATTCACCCACTCACACTCACTCTCTCATTCACCCACTCACACTCACTCTCTCACTCACCCACTCACACTCACTCTCTAATTCACCCACTCACACTCACTCTCTCATTCACCCACTCACTCTCACTCTCTAATTCACCCACTCACACTCACTCTCTCACTCACCCACTCACTCTCACTCTCTAATTCACCCACTCACACTCACTCTCTCACTCACCCACTCACACTCACTCTCTCACTCACCCACTCACACTCACTCTCTAATTCACCACTCACACTCACTCTCTCATTCACCCACTCACACTCACTCTCTCATTCACCCACTCACTCTCACTCTCTTTCATCCACTCACACTCACTCTCTCATTCACCCACTCTCTCACTCACACACTCACACTCACTCTCTCACCCACTCACACTCACTCTCTCACTCATCCACTCACACTCACTCTCTCATTCACCCACTCTCTCATTCACCCACTCACACTCACTCTCTCATTCACCCACTCACACTCACTCTCTCATTCACCCACTCACACTCACTCTCTTTCACACACTCACTCTCTCACCCACTCACACTCACTCTCTCACTCATCCACTCACTCTCTCATTCACCCACTCACACTCACTCTCTCATTCACCCACTCACACTCACTCTCTCATTCACCCACTCTCTCACTCACCCACTCACACTCACTCTCTCACTCACCACTCCACTCACACTCACTCTCTCACTCACCCACTCACACTCACTCTCACACTCACCCACTCACCCACTCACACTCACTCTCACACTCACCCACTCACACTCACTCTCTCACTCACCCACTCACACTCACTCTCTCACTCACCCACTCACACTCACTCTCTAATTCACCCACTCACACTCACTCTCTCATTCACCCACTCACACTCACTCTCTCACTCACCCACTCACTCTCACTCTCTCACTCATCCACTCACACTCACTCTCTCATTCACCCACTCTCTCACTCTCACACTCACTCTCTCACCCACTCACACTCACTCTCTCACTCATCCACTCACACTCACTCTCTCATTCACCCACTCACACTCACTCTCTCATTCACCCACTCACACTCACTCTCTCATTCACCCACTCTCTCACTCACCCACTCACACTCACTCTCTCACTCATCCACTCACACTCACTCTCTCACTCACCCACTCACACTCACTCTCTCACTCACTCTCGCTCGCTCGATAAGAAGTCCATAAGAAGCTTGTGTTTATGATCTTGGATATTAACAGAGTTTTTTCTTTCAGATGTTCCAAACGTGCACAGGAAGAAGCTCGAGCACGACACCTACGTCCTGGTGAGTGACCAGCGCCCCCTCATGGACAAGTCTGAAACTGTCTGGGTCTGGATGCACTTCCTCCTGCTCCCAAAGAAACTCAATATCAAAATTATTCTTTGTTAAACAACCAAGTTAAACACAGCAGCATCAAAAACCAGTAAAAATCGTGTTAGCGTCCTGAGTCTGCAGCAAAGCATCGTACAAACATCAGAGCCAAAAGTTCTCTGTCTGTGACCATGATACTGTCCACGAGTCCGGGAGAAGGTTTAATCCAGACCAGACTAGGACCAGCCTCACCCTGGACCCCTGTGGACTCGGTCTTGCACAAACCTGCGGGTCGGAGTAAAGCTGTGTCTCAGAGACTCGACCCAAACACCAACTGTGTGGAGTGTGTTTTATAATGCACTTTAAGTCAATAAATCAATGTAAACCATGTATTAATAGTTTAATAGTGGGCTAAGGCCCGCCTGGTGGCCGGGCCTTAGCCCACGGGGCCCGGCCGGGCTCAGCCCGAAGGGATGACGTGGGCAGTCCCTCCTGTGGGCTCACCACCTGCAGAGGGGTCCGTGGTGGCGAGGTGCAGAGAGGACTGGGCAGCGGTCGAAGGCGGAGACCTCGACGACCCAGTCCACACACCCAACATCTGGCTCTTGGGACGTGGAACGTCACCTCACTGGGGGGGAAGGAGCCCGAGCTTGTGGGGGAGGTTGAGCGATACCGACTAGAGATAGTCGGCCTCACCTCCACACACAGCTTGGGCTCTGGAACCCAACTCCTTGAGAGGGGTTGGACGCTCCACTTTTCTGGTGTTTCCCGCGGGGAGAGGCGGCGAGCTGGGGTGGCCATACTCATTGCCCCCCATCTCAGCCGCCACGTGTTGGAGTTCTCCCCGGTGAATGAGAGGGTCGCGTCCCTCCGTCTCCGGGTGGGGGACAAGTCTCTCACTGTTGTGACGGCCTACGGGCCTAACGGTAGTGCAGAGTACCCGGCCTTCTTGGAGTCCTTGGGAGGGGTACTGGACAGTGCACCGCCCGGGGACTCCGTTATTCTCCTGGGGGACTTCAACGCCCATGTGGGAAATGCCAGTGACACTTGGAGAGGGGTGATCGGGAAGAGCGGCCCCCCTGATCTGAACCCGAGCGGTGTTCAGTTGTTGGACTTCTGTGCCAGGCACGGCCTGTCCATCACGAACACCATGTTCGAGCACAAGGGTGTCCATCAGTGCACGTGGCACCAGGACACCCTAGGCCGGAGGTCGATGATCGACTTTGTAGTCGTATCATCTGACCTTCGACCGCGTGTCTCGGACACTCGGGTGAAGAGAGGGGCGGAGCTGTCAACCGATCATCACCTGGTCGTGAGTTGGATCCGCTGGCAGGGCAGGAGGCCGGTCAGACCTGGCAGGCCCAAGCGTGTAGTGAGGGTTTGCTGGGAACGTCTTGGTGAGCCCCCTGTCAGACGGACTTTCAACTCACACCTCCGGGAGAGCTTCTCCCAGGTCCCGGCAGAGGAGGGGGACATCGAGTCCGAGTGGACCATGTTCTCTTCCTCTATCGCCAATGCGGCGGCTCGTAGCTGTGGTCGCAAGGTCTCTGGTGCTGGTCCCGGCGGCAATCCCCGAACCCGGTGGTGGACACCGGCAGTAAGGGATGCCGTCAGGCTGAAGAAGGAGTCCTATCGAGCAATGATGGTTCGTGGGACTCCTGAGGCAGCTGTCCAGTACCGGCAGGCCAAACGTGCCGCGGCCCGGGCTGTTGCAGAGGCAAAAACCCGGGACTGGGAGGAGTTCGGAGAGTCCATGGAGCATGACTATCGGTCGGCCTCGAAGAGGTTCTGGCAAACTGTCCGGCGCCTCAGGAGGGGGAAGCAGTTCTTTGCCAACACCGTGTATGGTGCGGGTGGAGGGCTGCTGACCTCGACTGGGGATATTGTCGGGCGGTGGAAGGAATACTTCGAGGTTCTCCTCAATCCCCCCGTCACGTCCTCCGTCCAGGAGGCAGAGGCTGAGGATGTTGGGGCGGATACTTCCATCTCCCTGGCCGAGGTCACCAAGGTGGTTGGCAGCCTCCATGGTGGCAAGGCGCCGGGAGTGGATGAGATCCGTCCTGACTATCTAAAGTCTCTGGATGTTGTAGGACTGTCTTGGCTGACACGTCTCTGCAACATCGCGTGGCGATCGGGGGCGGTGCCAATGGAGTGGCAGACCGGGGTGGTGGTCCCTCTCTACAAGAAGGGGGACCGGAGGGTGTGTTCCAATTATCGTGGGATCACACTCCTCAGCCTCCCCGGTAAGGTCTACTCCAAGGTACTGGAGAGGAGGCTACGTCCGATGGTCGAATCTCGGATTCAGGAGGAGCAGTGTGGTTTTCGTCCCGGTCGCGGAACACTGGACCAGCTCTATACTCTCCATCGGATACTCGAGGGTTCATGGGAGTTCGCCCAACCTGTCCACATGTGCTTTGTGGATTTGGAGAAGGCGTTCGACCGTGTTCCCCGGGGTGTCCTTTGGGGGGTCCTCCGGGAGTACGGGGTCCGGGGTCCTCTGCTGAGGGCTGTTCGGTCCCTGTATGACCGGAGCCAGAGCTGTGTTCGCATTGCCGGCAGTAAGTCAGACCTGTTCCCGGTGCATGTTGGCCTCCGCCAAGGCTGCCCTTTGTCACCGGTTCTGTTCACTGTATTTATGGACAGAATCTCTAGGCGCAGCCAGGGGCCGGAGGGGGTCCGGTTCGGGAACCACAGGATTTCATCACTACTTTTTGCGGATGATGTCGTCCTGCTGGCTCCAACGAACCAGGACCTGCAACATGCACTGGGACGGTTTGCAGCCGAGTGTGAAGCGGCTGGGATGAGAATCAGCACCTCCAAATCCGAGGCCATGATGCTCGACCGGAAAAAGGTGCCTTGCCCTCTCCAGGTGGGTGGAGAGGTCCTTCCTCAAGTGGAGGAGTTCAAGTATCTCGGGGTCTTGTTCACGAGTGAGGGGAGGATGGAGCGTGAGATTGACAGGCGGATCGGTGCAGCGTGCGCAGTGATGCGGTCTCTGTATCGGACCGTTGTGGTAAAGAGGGAGCTGAGCCGAAAGGCAAAGCTCTCAATTTACCGGTCAATCTTCGTTCCCTCCCTCACCTATGGTCATGAGCTGTGGGTAATGACCGAAAGAACGAGATCGCGGATACAAGCGGTCGAAATGAGCTTCCTCCGCAGAGTGGCTGGGCGCTCCCTTAGAGATAGGGTGAGGAGCTCGGTCACACGGGAGGAGCTCGGAGTAGAGCCGCTGCTTCTCCACGTCGAGAGGAACCAGTTGAGGTGGCTCGGGCATCTGTTCAGGATGCCTCCTGGACGCCTTCCTGGGGAGGTGTTCCGGGCACGTCCCACCGGGAGGAGGCCCCGGGGAAGACCCAGGACACGCTGGAGAGACTATGTCTCTCAGCTGGCCTGGGAACGCCTAGGGGTCCCCCCGGACGAGCTGGAGGAGGTGTGTGTGGATAGGGAAGTCTGGGCGTCTCTGCTTAGACTGCTGCCCCCGCGACCCGGCAACGGATGAAGCGGAGGAAAATGGATGGATGGATGATCAGTTATATCAGTTATAATGTTATAAATATGAATAAGTCTATTTTGTTTTTTTAGTGCCACTCTCCAAATATATTCTTATATACTCAAATCTACTTCAATTCACATCTTTTGAAAACAGGGGCCTCTCATGGGCTTTGTGTTTTTACTCAGACTTATGCAAAATGAGAGCAAACACTGTATAAACTGATTGTATTTTCACTTTATTTAGTGATTATTCATAATTTTACTTTTTTTAGAGACTTTTTACAAGTAATAATTATTTACAATTATCACTTTGATGTCACAACTGTTCCTGTGTTTTGCAAAATAACATGAAATAATGTGTTCATTGAAAAAATGCAATTGTTCTGAGCCACCACTAGATGGCGGTGTAGGCCAACACATAGTGACCTTGGTCCTTCAGAGCACATTTGTGATTGTACCTGTTTAATGAGAACGGTACAAAGTTGTAGTGTTTGTGCAAAGTTTGAGTGTTGTTTGTCCCCCGCAGGGCACCATCCATCCCTTCAGGAAGAGCCACAGGTCGATCTTTGGGAAACTGAAGCAGGAGCTCAGCCTGGTGGCCTCAGACCGACGGGTGAGTGAGCTGCCCACACACTCTGGTCTATGCTTTAGAGTTTAGCATTTACATAAAAATATGGCTGCACCAGATTTGGCACCAGCTACTTTCCATCTGCAGTCCTATCTTTCTTTGTAATGTAGTGTGATAATTTATGATTTTATTGTGTTTTGTTCAGCACTTTGAGTTGTCTTGTGTATGAATTGTGCTATACAAAAAAACTCTCCTTCCTATAATACAGTTCAGTAAAAAGTTACCGACGTAGTTACATAGCAGCAAGTGGAGAACATGCAAATCACAGGTGTGCAATCACAAGAGTCCAACCTGTGGCTCCGGGACTAGCAGTAGCTCGCCAGCTTCTTTCAGGTAGCTCCCCAAAGGATTTAGAATTTAATAAACCAGTTCATGTGAAACCAAACCCTTTTTCAAGTTTAATATTCAGAGAAAAATTAGGGAAACCATCACAATACACATTTTTCAGGATCATTTAAATTTGTATTTGTATTTTTTATTTTTTATGATTCCTTTTTAAAGTAAGTGATTTCCTGATGTGTCCTGATGATAATCAGTGGGATTTTATCGGTCGCTTTTTCAGACTCAGGAAATTTTATTTTCTGTCACAGAGTCACCGAATGATCCAATCAGAGGCTGATCTGATCGTTTAAAATGTCACAGAAATGTATTTCTCAATCTGTGAGATCAATAAAGTCTATCTTTTCTTATCCAATCAATGATAGTAATTTTAGTTTTGTGGAGCAGAAGGAGCAGTGAGGATGAGGAGGAGCAGTGAGGATGAGGAGGATCAGTGAGGGGTTGGTGCTCTGTGGACTGGGTGCAGCTCTGACTGCCACCCCTGACCCAGAAATGGATTAAGGGGAAGAAAATGGATGGATGGATAATATATATAAAAAGCTAAATTTTAATCATGAATCAAGGTTTTATATAAAAAGAGGTTTTGTCCAAAATAACTCCTTGTCCTGACTTTGTCATTTGATGTTTTAAAACAGAGTATTATTATTATTAATCTTCATAGTCCATAGTTACAAAGAAAATATCCAATACACACTGTATATTGCATAGGGCTGAAACAACTAATCGATTAATCGACGACTAATCGATTATTAAAATAGTCTACAACTATTTTAGTAATCGATTAATTGTTTTCTGGTTCACACAGACTCAAACAGAGCAAAAATGACATGAAAATGTAGTATTTTTGATTAAAACCGACTTTGTTTTTATAATTTCATGAATATCTGTCTGTCTCATCCAATCAGAGCAGAATTAGCACAAAGAGCCTGTTACAAACATTTACTTTAAGTTTACGCCATCAATACGTCCTCGAGTGTTGCCACTTTAGCTTTTTGTGATGAAAAAATAAATGTTTTCTACACAATTCACAGCCAAGCGATTACTCGATTAATCGTAAAAATAATCGATAGATTAATCGATTACAAAATAATCGTTAGTTGCAGCTCTAATATTGCATATAACTTTTCTCCCTAGTAATATATCTGTAGAAAAGTTCCGACCCCCAATGTAAGTGAATACGTTCTGAGAAGTGAAACTATTAGTGTGGATGAAGCTAAAACTATTGTCTTTCCATGAGGGAGAAATGTTGTAACAGGGTTAAAGGCTCAAAGTCGCTTTTGCATCATAATCCAGGACTTTTTCTACAGAAACAGAGAATGGGTCCGATCATTGGCACTCCCTCAGTATTCTAACAAATCCGTGTTACCCAACCAGCCTCATCCCGTGTGCTTTTGTGTGGAGCATGCGTCCCAAAGTGTGGCCCGGTGTCAGCAGGCCGTGATCCATTATGTAAGGGGTTATTTTGGGAGGGAGACATGGGCGCCCTGGAGACACAGCCTGAATAACCTCGTTCATATGTAAGAGCCGAGCAGACACCAGACTCTGGTATAAGAGAGGGAGATGAAGCTGTGTCTGAGACGGTGAAGCTGCAGACTCTGCAGCTTCACCGTCTCAGACACAGCTTCACCTGCCTCTCTTATACCAGACTCTGCAGCTTCACCGTCTCAGACACACTTCACCTGCCTCTCTTATACCAGACTCTGCAGCTTCACCGTCTCAGACACAGCTTCACCTCCCTCTCTTATACCAGACTCTGCAGCTTCACCGTCTCAGACACAGCTTCACCTGCCTCTCTTATACCAGACTCTGCAGCTTCACCGTCTCAGACACAGCTTCACCTGCCTCTCTTAAACCAGACTCTGCAGCTTCACCGTCTCAGACACAGCTTCACCTGCCTCTCTTATACCAGACTCTGCAGCTTCACCGTCTCAGACACAGCTTCACCTGCCTCTCTTATACCAGACTCTGCAGCTTCACTGTCTCAGACACAGCTTCACCTCCCTCTCTTATACCAGACTCTGCAGCTTCACTGTCTCAGACACAGCTTCACCTCCCTCTCTTATACCAGACTCTGCAGCTTCACTGTCTCAGGGGGGGGGGGGGGGGGGGGGGGGGAGTGGTTTGAGTTGGTGCTACGGCTAAGCTAACAACATCACTAACTGCTCTCTCACAGCGGGTGCATCCTGACCCAGCTAAACATATACCGTACAGTTTTTTTTATAAAATTTAAATCATGAACAAAAACAGTTTTATTTAAGAGGGAGCGTACATTTAGAAGAGCAAACCTGATTGAAGAAGGCGTGTCGCTGTCGATGAAGAGTTGAAAATGGTTTTGGGACTATGAGGACAGACCATAACGACGCCCAGCCTTTGTGATGCGGCCGGTTTGGACACGTTGTTAGTACCTTGAAGAGCGATAGAACAGGAAGTGTGCCGACGTGTCTCACCGTTTAATCAATATTTAGATTTCAAATGTACTATATACGAGAAATGAGCCACTGGTGTCAGACTTCACTTCATCGCAGACACAAGCATGTCAGAGATAGATACTTTATTGATCCTCGTTGGAGAAATGCAGGTGTCCAGCCGCAGAAACACATCCATCCAAACAAACTAATATATAATTCTAAATGTTTATAACAAAAGTAAGGAAGTGCAGCAGCAGGAGAGGAGCTGCTTCCTCTGGTTGATGTCTGCAGCGTCTGCTTGGTTCGGACCATTATCTCTGCTCTGGTTCAGAGTGAAATTCTGAATTCTTCATATTCTTTCCACCGTTCCTGGTAAAAGGAGCGGGGTGGAACTTTTACAGTAACCTTCCTCTCTGTGGTCCTCTCAGTGGTCCTCTCTGTGGTCCTCTCAGTGGTCCTCTCTGTGGTCCTCTCAGTGGTCCTCTCAGTGGTCCTCTCTGTGGTCCTCTCAGTGGTCCTCTCTGTGGTCCTCTCAGTGGTCCTCTCAGTGGTCCTCTCAGTGGTCCTCTCTGTGGTCCTCTCAGTGGTCCTCTCAGTGGTCCTCTCCGTGGTCCTCTCTGTGGTCCTCTCTGTGGTCCTCTCTGTGGTCCTCTCTGTGGTCCTCTCTGTGGTCCTCTCCGTGGTCCTCTCCGTGGTCCTCTCCGTGGTCCTCTCTGTGGTCCTCTCCGTGGTCCTCTCTGTGGTCCTCTCCGTGGTCCTCTCAGTGGTCCTTTCCGTGGTCCTCTCAGTGGTCCTCTCTGTGGTCCTCTCCGTGGTCCTCTCGGTGGTCCTCTCCGTGGTCCTCTCCGTGGTCCTCTCCGTGGTCCTCTCCGTGGTCCTCTCCGTGGTCCTCTCTGTGGTCCTCTCTGTGGTCCTCTCTGTGGTCCTCTCTGTGGTCCTCTCTGTGGTCCTCTCCGTGGTCCTCTCCGTGGTCCTCTCCGTGGTCCTCTCCGTGGTCCTCTCCGTGGTCCTCTCGTGGTCCTCTCTGTGGTCCTCTCTGTGGTCCTCTCTGTGGTCCTCTCTGTGGTCCTCTCCGTGGTCCTCTCTGTGGTCCTCTCTGTGGTCCTCTCTGTGGTCCTCTCAGTGGTCCTTTCCGTGGTCCTCTCCGTGGTCCTCTCTGTGGTCCTCTCTGTGGTCCTCTCTGTGGTCCTCTCTGTGGTCCTCTCAGTGGTCCTCTCAGTGGTCCTCTCTGTGGTCCTCTCTGTGGTCCTCTCTGTGGTCCTCTCTGTGGTCCTCTCAGTGGTCCTTTCCGTGGTCCTCTCTGTGGTCCTCTCTGTAGTCCTCTCTGTGATCCTCTCTGTGGTCCTCTCAGTGGTCCTCTCAGTGGTCCTCTCTGTGGTCCTCTCTGTGGTCCTCTCTGTGGTCCTCTCTGTGGTCCTCTCTGTGGTCCTCTCTGTGGTCCTCTCTGTGGTCCTCTCCGTGGTCCTCTCCGTGGTCCTCTCTGTGGTCCTCTCTGTGGTCCTCTCTGTGGTCCTCTCTGTGGTCCTCTCCGTGGTCCTCTCGGTGGTCCTCTCTGTGGTCCTCTCTGTGGTCCTCTCAGTGGTCCTCTCAGTGGTCCTCTCTGTGGTCCTCTCCGTGGTCCTCTCAGTGGTCCTTTCCGTGGTCCTCTCAGTGGTCCTCTCTGTGGTCCTCTCCGTGGTCCTCTCAGTGGTCCTTTCCGTGGTCCTCTCAGTGGTCCTCTCTGTGGTCCTCTCTGTGGTCCTCTCTGTGGTCCTCTCCGTGGTCCTCTCTGTGGTCCTCTCCGTGGTCCTCTCTGTGGTCCTCTCTGTGGTCCTCTCTGTGGTCCTCTCTGTGGTCCTCTCCGTGGTCCTCTCCGTGGTCCTCTCTGTGGTCCTCTCCGTGGTCCTCTCTGTGGTCCTCTCTGTGGTCCTCTCTGTGGTCCTCTCTGTGGTCCTCTCCGTGGTCCTCTCCGTGGTCCTCTCGGTGGTCCTCTCTGTGGTCCTCTCCGTGGTCCTCTCTGTGGTCCTCTCCGTGGTCCTCTCAGTGGTCCTTTCCGTGGTCCTCTCAGTGGTCCTCTCTGTGGTCCTCTCCGTGGTCCTCTCCGTGGTCCTCTCTGTGGTCCTCTCTGTGGTCCTCTCCGTGGTCCTCTCAGTGGTCCTCTCGGTGGTCCTCTCCGTGGTTTTCTCGGTGGTCCTCTCAGTGGTCCTCTCAGTGGTCCTCTCCGTGGTCCTCTCAGTGGTCCTCTCTGTGGTCCTCTCTGTGGTCCTCTCCGTGGTTTTCTCGGTGGTCCTCTCAGTGGTCCTCTCAGTGGTCCTCTCCGTGGTCCTCTCAGTGGTCCTCTCTGTGGTCCTCTCTGTGGTCCTCTCCGTGAGTTTTTTTTATAGTCCTCCTTCAGTTTTTATTTTATACTTTTCCCGACTTGTTTTGGAATGTGATGAATCTCAAAATATATCTTTTCATTTCGCTGCGATGCCTTAAACCCTCAAACCCTCAAACCCCGTCTGAATCACAGTGCTGTTGTTTGCTGTTTCCAGTGGTCTCTGCTAGGCTAATGTTGCTAGGCTAATGTTGCTAGGCTAATGTTGCTAGGCTAATGCTGCTGGGCTAATGCTGCTAGGCTAATGTTGCTGGGCTAAAGCTGTGTTCAGACCGCCAACGCTGAAACGCACATTCTCTAGTTTTCAGACACAGGGGTCTTCAGACCTCAAGTCCTGGTGCGCGCCGGAAGTGGCGGAAGTAGCCGGTGGGCTCTGATGCTAACAGAGTTTAGCTAGCGGCTTCTTGTGTACAGATCTTCTCCGATAATGCAGCTTTGCAGCGTGTCTGTTCAGAGACCTTCTACGGACTTTATATAAGAGAAGCATGTGTTCACGGAGGTGCGCAAGTTTATTTTATTATTAAAGGGTAATTCCGCATCGGCGAACACACTCGAAGCAGTTGCATAAAGTCACGGGAGCATGACAACTCACATGTTAACACGCACATTGTCAGCCCTGGTTTAGTCCTGGTGTAGCTCCTGTTTTGGCTGTTTACGAGTATTTTCAGTCTGCTCGCTCAGACCGCTAATGTCCCCGTGACCACTTTGCGGCTCTCTGATTGGTCGCTGCACGAACGTCCCGAGGAAAGGTTGAGCAAAATTCATCTCCTGCGTTCCTCCCCTTCGACTTCCCTGCGCTGTCCGTGCGTGCATTCCAAGACGCTTGTGCGTTTTGACGCTCGAACGCGCGTCACCATCGACTTTGCATTGAAAGCCGACGCAATGCATGATCCGGTCTGAACGCGGGCTAATGCTGCCGAGCTAATGCTGCTAGGCTAATGCTGCTGGGCTATTGCCGGTTGTTTTGCTGCTTTCTGCTGGCGTCAGAGCCTGCTCTAGCTTTAGCCAATCAGCGCCGGGTTAACCTCAAGTCCCACCAGGCCCCAACGAAGTACCTAGCATGGAGGAGGGACTCCGTTGGGCCCCGTAAAAGTTCCTATAAATGGCTCTGTGGGGAAAGTTCCTGCAGTGGAGACGCACCGACGGGGCTGGCCCTGGAAAAATACTTGTGGTGGAAACGCGGCTATTAGCATTTTATAGAAAGTGGTTTAGGCCGTGCATCCTCTTCTTTTTGCTCTGGGCTGGATCAGTGTTGCGTCTTCTCCAAGTCCCCAAATGGACCATTAGACTGACGGTCCTGCTGGCGGCCACACCCCCCTGCTGCACGTGCACGCTCTTGTCCGCACGTGCACGCTCCTGTCCGCCGCGAGGGTCTGGACCAGCGCTGTCACCAGACGCTGCAGTCCTGTCATAACACGGCACGCCACTGTAATTGTAGATTTCACAGCAACGGGATATGACTCGAACCACATGTGACAGGCCGCACACACACTTCGGCAACCCTTCATCACCGCACACAAGACCAAGACTATTAGTGAACACGCACACGCACACAGACACACACACATGGTTTTGACTTGATCCACTTTTCCAATACATGAGCAATAATTGATAGTATCTTAAATCAGCCTTTAAGAGTTTTTCGAGCTCAGATCTGGGACTAAAGCAAAAAATTAATCTCATATTAAAATAAAATCTAAAATACATTTGTTTTTTATGGACTAATAATCTATTGGTCCAATGGTCTCTGCCCTTATCAACCAATGTCTCTCTGTGTTTATCAGTGCATTTCCTGTGTGTGATTCTCTGATCTGTGTTGGAGAATCGACAGCTTTGTAAAGTCCTCTGAGAAAACTACTGTTGAGATTTAAGGCGATACACAAATAACTTGAACTCTGAATAGGAGGACAGTGTTCTAGTCGCATTCTTCAACCTGCACTGTCTCCCCTCGGCCAGTTTAGCTAAAAAAATGTGTTTTGTTCATTGATTCGGTCCCAGGATTGGGCTTAGAAATAATCATAAACAACCCTGACACTCTGGTCCCTGCTGAAGAAAGGCAGCCCTTATCTATGTTTTATTGATTCCTGGAGGAGAAATACACACATCCATTAATACAAACAACAAATAAATACAATTCTAAAAGGGTTAGGTCCTCTAGGTCAGAGCAGCAAAGCCTCTGAATCTATGAATACTTAAAACTTGCTGCAATATTTAATAATCGGCGTGTATGGTCGGTGTAAAAACTCTGTACTTCTTGATCTTTAGTAAAGGAATCCACACGGAGCTTATTCTTCAGAATCCAAATCCAGTTTGACACGACTCCCACGACAAGTGTGTCCTTCCCCAAAGCACGACTGAATCAGACAGAAGGCTCCAAGGCATTCAGACGCACACACACACAGAGACGCACACACACACAGAGACGCACACACACACAGAGACGCACACACACACAGAGACGCACACACACACAGAGACGCACACACACAGAGAGACAGACGCACACACAGAGACACAAAGACAGACAAACACACACATGGAGACACACAGACACGCGTACACACAGATGCACACACAGAGAGACAGACGCACACACAGAGAGACAGACGCACACACAGACGCACAGACACACAGAGACAGACACACACAGACACACACACATGGAGACGCACACACACATGGAGACGCACACACACATGGAGACGCACACACACATGGAGACGCACACACACATGGAGACGCACACACACATGGAGACGCACACACACACGGAGACGCACACACACATGGAGACGCACACACACACAGACGCACACACAGACACACACGCGCACACACAGACACACACGCGCACACGCACACACACACACGCACACACACAGAGACACAGACGCACACACAGAGACACAGACGCACACAGAGACACAGACGCACACAGAGACACACACACACTACTCCAGCTCACTGTACGCACACAGACACCCATTTCAGTACGCACTACAGGGGGGGCCGCTCGGGCCCTGCACTTTGTGTGTGTCGTGCAGCCGTAGTAAAAATAAAGTGTGTGACATGTTGTGTGTTTGTTGTCATTTCCAGTCGTGGAGGATCCTGCTGTTTGGAGCTCTCAACCTGCTGTGTACGGGCTGTCTGCTGATGTGGTGCAGCGCCACCAACAGCATGGGTGAACACACACACACACACACACACACACACACACACACACACACACACACACACACACACACACACACACACACACACACACACACACACACACACACACACACACACACACACACACACACACACACACACACACACACACACACACACACACACACACACACACACTTCTTTATTATGCTAAAGTTACACATTTTATTTTAGTTCAGTTTAGACTTGAGAGACTTTCTCGTTCTCCTCCTTCTTACTGGTCTGTAACTGGTGATGCAACACTGACATTTCCCCAAAGTGGGACCAACAAATGATCTTCTTAAAGGTTTATAGGAAGATTTTCCCAAATGTTATGAAAGAACCGCCCTCTCCATTTTTTTGAACCAAACTCTGTGCTCTTATTGGACGAGCACGTATCACCAGAATGATTGACAGTAGGAGGACTAATAGTCTTGATGATCCACCAGGAAGTAGAAACTCCTCCTGTGAACCTTTTAACACACGTGCACACAAAGGCTTACAGCAGTGTTGCCTGTCGAGTAACAAAGCAGGCTCTCGTTTCCTTGTGAAATAAAGTCCTTTATTGAAAAATGCAGCACAGAAGTTTTTACAGTTCATTTAAACATTCATGATTCTCTGACGCTCTCCCTGGCACTGATTGTCTTTGTTTGCACAGATGAATATGTTTTCTCAGTATTTATTAAGAATATTGGATACTGTAGATGAGTTTGTGTGTCTTGGAGCGAGAAAAGTCCGTTTCTCAGAATATGAGCTTAACTGATCCATCGATCCAGCGTTTGCTCAGACTAATGCCATGTTCATGAATTGCACCCAAAGCTCTGCATCTTCTCTTAAGCCTAGCGTACATGGACAAAGTAACTGGAGACAACTAGTTTCAAGACCAGTGTCGTCTCTTGACGACAGAGAGTAGATGATGGAGATGATCAGTTGAAATCGGTCGATGTGAGCGCTCTTACAACTGGAGATAAACAGTCGATCTCCGGACTCAGTCAGTTGCCCGTGTTCTGCTTCTCGGCAACTAGTTGTCCTCAGATTCGGAGATATCACCCGATGTGCTCCAACAAATCAAATCAATTTCAAATAAATTTTATTTGTATCGCCCGAAATCACAACAACGGTTGTCTCAAGGGGCGTCACAGAACCGTGGACTGTGGACCAGTCTTCAGGTCCAGGGAGTCAGGGTTTCGAGTCCCACCAGCGCGTCATGAAACAGAGAGAGGGACGACAGGTGAACAGCAATGCAAAAACGAAATTTAAGCATTTACAACAAATTAACTGTGAAAAACGAGAACGAGAACAACCTGTGTGTATTGCGTGTATTGCGCCCTCTACAGTTTATGTCAGAAAAGACACTGTAGTTGAGGCCAGTTGCTGTTATTCCCCAGACTGGCCTGATGCAGGAGTTTCCCTGTTTTCACCAGATTGTCGATGTGTGCGGGGCAGGAACTCAAAGGCCACGGATACAATCGGTTGCCAATCCGATGTACGCTAGGCATTAAGGTCACACGCTGCTTTGAAAACATGTCGTTTATGGTATTCTTTTTGGCTATGTTTCTACTACTTAGAAATATGTTATTAGTATTGCAGTAATTATGTTTTGTTTTGTTTTCTCTGATTTAACTTTGTCATTACCATCAGAGGTTCATGTTCCTCTATGACTTCTTCTTGTTGTGACTCTGTTGTATGTGAATAACGTCAGTGCTGGAGCTCCCTGTCATGAGAGGGTCGTCTGTAAACAGAATAATAATGTCTCGTCTGTGATAATAAGGTCCTCAATGTTCAAGGGTAACATTCTCACACTAAGCTTTTTTTTATGTCTTTGAATAAAAAGAGAGACATAAATCATAATATATCGCAGAATCAAATTGCAATACTTGTTGTATAAAATAATTCCAGACGACTGAGGTGGCTGAGTGGTTAGCAGGTCCTGGGTTTAAATACAGGGTCTTGCTGAGTGGAGTTTACATGTTCTCCCCGTGTCTGCGTAGGTGTCCTTGGTGTTCTCTGGTTTCCCCTACCACTAAAAACATGCACAATAGGTCTGAATGTAGCGAGTGAGTGAATGGATGGTGTTTGGTCAGAGGCTTTGATGGACCAGTGTGTTCAGGTCTTGCTTCCGTCATCACCTTGTGGAGAGAATAGATTAATATCTGATTTCTGTACATTGTAAAGTGCTTTGGGTGACCGTGGTCTGTAAAAATATAAATTAACATTACTTATTTTCTATCAAATCATAGTATTTTTGCCGATTCCCAGTCGTAGCAAGAGCCGTGGATCTGCTCCGACATCTTTTAGCTTCAGAGGCAGCTCAGAGGCAGCTCAGAGGCAGCTCAGAGGCAGCTCAGAGGCAGCTCAGAGGCAGCTCAGAGGCAGCTCAGAGGCAGCTCAGAGGCAGCTCAGAGGCAGCTCAGAGGCAGCTCAGAGGCAGCTCAGAGGCAGCCCGGAGGCCGCCTGCTGTGCCGTCCCTGATGAAGTGCTGAGGTTTGGCCAGACACAGCTCAGATTGTTTATGGTCGCTGCGGCTGGTGTCTGCCACCAACATGAAATCCTCTCAGGGACCCATCACTCAGGAAGGGGACAACAAGCAACCCTACCCCGCTCTCCTGCGCCGGCGTCGGGTGTCGCACAGACAGGAAGCACCGGACAGCCATCGAGCGGCCGCGGGAACCTACACCTCCATCAATACCAGGCCCTGCTTCATACTGGCAGCCACCCACACAGACTGCAGCGCATCAGGACAAAGTCACCCAAGCAGACGGCCTGTAGGAGACACCAGAGACTTTCAGGGTATCAGAGGAGCCAGCAGGGGCAACGGGGCAACTTACAACGATGACTCAAACAGGAATCCATTTAAAACAACATTGTGTATGGAAATAGCAGCAGTAATAGTTTATTTTCTTTGGTCATTATGAACATGTGGATCTTAGGTCACATCAATGGCGTTGGATTGGTTTCAGCTTTAATAATAATAATAATATTAATGCATTAGTTTTATATAGCGCTGTACCACTGTACCACTGTACCACTGTGGGGTACAGTGGTACAGTGGTAGAGGACAATCTTGAGGTCATGAATCCAGTGAAATTAGTCGCACACCTTTTTACAGTAATAAGTTACAGTAGATCAAAAGTGACATGTTTTGACTATTTTGGAGGTATTTTGGACCAAAATGGCTACTTTACCTCAATATTTCTCAATATTTCTACAGTAAAAGTTCCTGTTCTTTGGTACAGTGGTAGAGGACAATCTTGAGGTCATGAATCCAGTGAAATTAGTCGCACACCTTTTTACAGTAATAAGTTACAGTAGATCAAAAGTGACATGTTTTGACTATTTTGGAGGTATTTTGGACCAAAATGGCTACTTTACCTCCAATATTTCTCAATATTTCTACAGTAAAAGTGTCTGGTCTTTGGTACAGTGGTAGAAGGCAATGTTGAGGTCATGAATCCAGTGAAATCAGTTGCACACCTTTTTACAGTGAAAAGTTACAGTAGATCAAATGTGACATGTTTTGACCATTTTTAGGCTATTTTGGACCAAAATGGCTACTTTAAATCAATATTTCTACAGTAAAAGTGTCTGGTCTTTGGTACAGTGGTAGAGGACAATCTTGAGGTCATGAATCCAGTGAAATTAGTCGCACACCTTTTTACAGTAAAAAGTTACAGTAGATCAAAAGTGACATGTTTTGACTATTTTGGAGGTATTTTGGACCAAAATGGCTACTTTACCTCAATATTTCTCAATATTTCTACAGTAAAAGTTTCTGGTCTTTGGTACAGTGGCAGAGGGCAATAATAAGGTCATGAGTCAAGTGAAATTAGTCGCACACCTTATTCCAGTAAATAGTTACAATACTTGAAAATTGCACTAGCGGACCAAATTGTGTACTTTATACATGTAAACAATAGAGTGGCTATCCTCCTGAGGACTCACAATCTGCCGGAGGAATCGTAGGGGGCTGGTGCTATGTGTGCCGGGTGGCATCTCTATAAGGTTTTAATCACAAAAACGTGTCTCCCAGACCCCAGCGCGCTTTCTGTTCGATAAAAATGGGTGACTCCGAAAGGACGTTCCGCTGTTACCGTAAGTTCTCAACAAAACGCGCACCGTCTTTTCCCCGATGCGGGCCGCTTGTTCATAGAGCTGAAAGATGCGGGCCACTTTACCGCGGTAAATTAATAGACACAGCTGCTTACAGCGATGATCGCTGATGGAGACGGAGACACGCGGTGTGCACGAAGGGGAGGGGCTGTGTGTGTGTAGGTCTCTGTATGTGGGAGAGACGCGTAGCTTGAGTGAGAGTTACGAAGGGCCGCCACATTTTAAACCCCCCTCCCCGCTGTCAAATTGACCGCTGCGGCGGCACTATAGACGATGCATGTTTTAAATAGCGTAACAAAAAAAATATATATATAATAATACGAAACGCAATTTGTGGCGGGCGGTCTCTAATCTGTGGCGGTGCGCCACAGATTAGTCTATGTGTGGGAAACACTGGTGCTGTATCCGCCGCAGATATTTCCTGATGGATTCTCTGCACTAAGTATTTCTTCAGCCTTTAACCCAGTTTCTTTAACGGAGGAAGTTATATTCTGTGTTTGCAGCTTGAGTTTCCCAGCGCAGTGGACTGACCGAACGTAAATGGATTGAATGTGATTGATTAGTTTATTTATATAGCACATTTCATAAACGAGCAGTTTCCAAAGTGCTGTACGACAAGAAAAAATAGCAACAAATAAATAAATACACATGTACAGCACAGACCATAAGTTTGGACACACCTTTTTTATTTTCATGATTATGAAAATGGTAGATTGTCACTGAAGGCATCAAACCTATGATGAACTCATGTGAATGATGTTCGTAGTAAAAACGTATGAACCAAGTGTAAATATGTGTTATATTCTGGTTCTTCAAAGTAGCTCCTTTTGCTCTGATGCTGCTTCACTCTTGGCATTCTCTGGATGAGCTTCAACAGGACCTGAAATGGTCTCCAACAGTCTGGAAGGAGTTCCCATGATGCTTAGCACTTGTTGGCCCCTTCACTCTGTGGTCCAGCCCCAAAACCATCTGGACTGGGTTCAGGTCCAAAACCATCTAGACTGGGTTCAGGTCCAAAACCATCTGGACTGGGTTCAGGTCCGGTCTCTCTCCTTATTGGTCAAACAGCCCTTACACAGCCTGGTGCTGTGTAAGGGCTGCCAACGCGTCTCCTATTGAAATCTCATGTAAAACATGATTTTTCTAGCAGCCCTTGGCTTTAGATCGCATCTACACACACACACACACACACACAGCACTTGTGTCTAAACATCAGCAGGAGGAGCAGCAGGTTTTACAGTGATTCTGGACATCGTTTTTTTTCTTTCATAAAGTCTGGCGTCTGGTCAAACCAGCAACAGAGACCATGAAGACAAACCCATGCATGTAATTTGTGTTGCTCTACATCATTCCTCTGGCCCGTACTGTCCTCTACACTGCTCCATAGACTACACAGGGACAACATCAGAAGACACGGACCTGCGCACGGCCTGTGTAAATACTCCAAAAAAATGTTACGCGCAGAGAGCGCGCAGTAAACGCGTACGCGCTGTTTACGCCTACTGTGTAAATTCCCCGTAAAAGTGTTGTGGCCATGAATGCATCTGGTTCCCCGTCTGGAACAATCTTCCTGAAGATGTGAGACAGGCCTCCTCTCTGACACTATTTAAATCCAGGTTAAAACAGTTCTGTTTATCTGTGCTACAGATGAGGGGTTACATATTTGTATCTTTTTAATGTACTGTGATTATTTATGATATTAATGCTGTCTTGTCTGGTTCAGCACTGTGTGTGTGTGTGTGTGGTGTGCATGTGGAGCCTGTGCACGTGGAGCCTGTCCCTTTGGGCTCCAGACCTTCATGATGTGAAGTGTTCAGTGTTTGTCTTCCCCCTCATTAGCCTGGATACGGTTCTGATGCATGTTCTGCCTGTGCCTCGAGCAACGGCATATGAACTTATACATGCTTTAGAAAACGGACGGCTGAGTCAACTCCAGTAAAGAGAGAGACCCTGTACATGTGGATCTACTCTCTACAGTCATTAAAGAGAGAGACCCTGTACATGTGGATCTACTCTCTCTACTGTCATTAAAGAGAGAGACCCTGTACATGTGGATCTACTCTCTACAGTCATTAAAGAGAGAGACCCTGTACATGTGGATCTACTCTCTCTACTGTCATTAAAGAGAGAGACCCTGTACATGTGGATCTACTCTCTCTACAGTCATTAAAGAGAGAGACCCTGTACATGTGGATCTACTCTCCCTACTGTCATTAAAGAGAGAGACCCTGTACATGTGGATCTACTCTCTCTACTGTCATTAAAGAGAGAGACCCTGTACATGTGGATCTACTCTCCCTACTGTCATTAAAGAGAGACCCTGTACATGTGGATCTACTCTCTCTACTGTCATTAAAGAGAGAGACCCTGTACATGTGGATCTACTCTCCCTACTGTCCTTAAAGAGAGAGACCCTGTACATGTGGATCTACTCTCTCTACTGTCATTAAAGAGAGAGACCCTGTACATGTGGATCCACTCTCTCTACTGTCATTAAAGAGAGACCCTGTACATGTGGATCTACTCTCTACTGTCATTAAAGAGAGAGACCCTGTACATGTGGATCCACTCTCTCTACTGTCATTAAAGAGAGACCCTGTACATGTGGATCTACTCTCTCTACTGTCATTAAAGAGAGAGACCCTGTACATGTGGATCTACTCTCCCTACTGTCCTTAAAGAGAGAGACCCTGTACATGTGGATCTACTCTCTCTACAGCATTAAAGAGAGAGACCCTGTACATGTGGATCTACTCTCTCTACTGTAATTAAAGAGAGAGACCCTGTACATGTGGATCTACTCTCTCTGTCATTAAAGAGAGAGACCCTGTACATGTGGATCTACTCTCTCTACTGTCATTAAAGAGAGAGACCCTGTACATGTGGATCCACTCTCTACTGTCATTAAAGAGAGAGACCCTGTACATGTGGATCTACTCTCTACTGTCATTAAAGAGAGAGACCCTGTACATGTGGATTTACTCTCTCTACTGTCATTAAAGAGAGAGACCCTGTACATGTGGATCTACTCTCCCTACTGTCATTAAAGATAGAGACCCTGCACATGTGGATCTACTCTCTGTCATTAAAGAGAGAGACCCTGTACATGTGGATCTACTCTCCCTACTGTCATTAAAGATAGAGACCCTGCACATGTGGATCTACTCTCTGTCATTAAAGAGAGAGACCCTGTACATGTGGATCTACTCTCCCTACTGTCATTAAAGATAGAGACCCTGTACATGTGGATCTACTCTCTACTGTCATTAAAGAGAGAGACCCTGTACATGTGGATCTACTCTCTCTACAGCATTAAAGAGAGAGACCCTGTACATGTGGATCTACTCTCTCTACTGTAATTAAAGAGAGAGACCCTGTACATGTGGATCTACTCTACTGTCATTAAAGAGAGAGACCCTGTACATGTGGGTCTACTCTCTCTTTAATTATTTTGTGAAGGATGGCGTCGTCAACATTGCTCATTATGTGAGCAGGAAAACTTCGGCATAACAGATGAATATTATGGGTAAAGTTTACGTTGTTTCGTTTTCTTCTTTGTGAATCTGAATTTCAATTTCAATGTTTTTCTATCGCCCTGAATCAGAACAGTAGTAATCTCAGAGGTCTTCACAAAGTTGTCGATTCTCCAACACAGATCA